GAAGTGTAAAATCATAACGCAGCTTGTCCGTTTCATTATTTCGACCGTTGTTTAACATAACCTTTACCTTAGCGTGACATCGGCTGACGTAGTTGAAAGTTCTATGCTTAGTGTTCGTGTCGCAGCGCCTTTCTCGAGAAAACTGCTTGCAATTGCATCACAAACCGTCCCCAGAACATTGAGTCATCCAAACATCATATCGTAACTGAACAATCCGTTTGCGGCGCTACTGATTATAAGAACGTGAGCACACCCACGATAAAAATGGAAGGTAATGGAGTACCGTGCGGTTATGCACGCATGAATGTGGGACAACTTCTTTGTTGTACCCGAAAGAATATTGTGTGCAATTTACTTAGGACGCAAATGTTGACACTGTAAGTGAAAGGACTGAATATAAAATGAATCATTTGACAGAATGGGGCACTTTACAAGGTCTGAACTGGAAAAAATGTCACATTTTTTTGTTTCAAAATCTTGTGCGCAAAACGATTCACAATTACCTCGAAAAATATACTTCAAATTGGAACTAAAAATGTCGAACTTGAATGTCACTTTACTGACGAAAAAATAGAAAAAATTATGTTCAACTTATTTTTGTGATCCTTAGAAGTTATTATCCGTCTCAAAATGTCACGATGTTACGAAGTTGTGATGTTACGAATGTCACAGGTTGTGATGTTACGAATGTCAAAGGTTGTGATGTTACGAATGTCACAGGTTGTGATGTTACGAATATCACAAGTTGTGATGTTACGAATGTCACAGGTTGTGATGTTACGAATATCGCAAGTGAAAATATCAAAAGTTTTCGTATCAAAATATTACATACGAAACGACTCACATTTGCTTCGAAAAATGCACTTAAAGTAGAAGCTAAAAATGTCCAACTTGAACGTCACTTCAAAGACGAAAAAATAGAAAAAATCATTTTTAACTTATTTTTGGCACCCTCCAAAATTATTTCCCGTCTCAAACTAAAATTGAAAATTTGCAGAAAGCGCGAATGCAAAAAGTTGCTGCCCACGCGAGCTACAAAGAAGATCCGCTTCCACACAGCATCACCAACAATTTGTGCAAATTGACGATTAAAAATATTGCATAAATCATAAGAGAGTTGCGTGAATTGAAAAAGGCCTCATTAATAATCGACACCTTCTTGCAATAAATTAGCGAACATCGAAACAATAATCCCTATATTTTTTGAAGAGAGCTTGGAAAAGGCTGTCGCGTCCATGTTTGGAGAAATTTCTGCTCAAAAGTTCGAAACTTGTTCGCATTCTCACTTTCTATGAAAGCACGATGGGTTGGAGGCCGCGTTGTCAGATATACGGAAATACGATACCATTACAATTATTCGCAAATTGACGAGTGTGCTCAATATGGCAACCGCGGACAGGGCTGCGCCAAATTAAGCTAAAAGCATAAATATGAGGCGATGAATAAATTTATTTTTTGGTAAAATGTAAGAGCTCACGTGGCGTACCAGTATCGCGAATTTTGCGTGGTTCCAATTCATCCGCTCACAGTGGCCTGGTGTCAGGATACTTTTGGATTATGGCGGCTTTGCAGATATGCCTTTTGGAAACGTTTTCAAGAGCCTGCTTCGTCTTCATGACGACCATTTCATCTGACCGGATCGCTTAATTTTATCCGCGTCCTCTTCGTCCATCACAATCATCAGCCCGCAGGGATTAAAAAAAATCTACCTACAAAAACTTCGGTTCACGTGAGTTACACTGAAGCCTTCGTAAGGTCCCAACTTTAGTTGAGATACCTGAAGTCATCAATTTAATTAAGAACCTTCGACGTTGAACAGGAAGTTAAACTGCCTGAGCTAAAGTTCAGCCAATTCAGTAGTTACCTGGACCGAAAACTTTAAGACTGTTCGATGCGACCTGAAGGGAAGTCCAGTCCGTCGAGGGATTCTCCTTCAGCATTTTTTTTAATTTAAATTTTAAATTAAATTCTAGTTTTTTTACATTTTTTTTAGGTTAAAAGGTTGAATGCAATCGTACAGAGGAAGTCTACACACGACTAAATTCAACCCAAACTCTCCCGCTACACAGATGTGCTCTTTTTTAAAAAGGCTGAGTGCTGATTTGCTTAGTGTCCATGCGTTTTATACAATGCGAGGAGAAGTATTAAAACATCTGGTCAAACGGACACAAGATACTAAGAAACGAAGATAAATTTTCATACATCGATGAGGTCAGCAGAAATTCCCTTAGAGGATCGGGTCCGTTCATGATAGAGAACCTATTTTGGATCGTAGAAAGGAAAATTAACGTCATCTTTAACATCATACCAAACCACCGGTCTGGTGTGATTATGAAATTCATCAATTTTCAGGTATCTGCAAATTCTTTATTATGGTTTCCGCACTTTCTGTCCCCATAAAAGTGGTTTTCTCATTACATACACTACTCTTTTAAACTGAACGACACCGCGAATATTAAGCGGTCTTCCACTTTCCATATAGTCACAGCATCGTAAAATTACACCCAATTTAGACGGTGACATGGCCTGCCGTCGAAAGTGAAGCTGTCCCAAAACCGGGGGCTTGATTAAACCCACGCCGTGGCGGTGCGCTGCCCTGCTTAGGAACAACAACGTAAGAACATTCGAAAATTGCCAAATCTCTTCCTCAAAATTATTTATTTTCGAGATAAGTTATGCGTATTTTTCCTTGAAATTTTCAGGTGCACTAGAAAAATTTAGGACATTTCCTCCGGAAAAAATCAGAGCAAGTAGTGACTAGAGTCCCTTTATACTGAGAGTCAAGACAATGTGAATCCATTTCTGACTGGTTCCCGTATTTTAGGCCCTCACAGTGTCACAAACGGGAATAAATATTACATTTTCACCGATTGCAAAGATTATAATCTGGAATGGACCAGGGAATTACGGGTTCGGCAAGGAACAAACGGAATGAGAGAAGGAACGGAGAAAGGAATTTGAGAAAGGGCCGATCAAAGATTACAAAAAACGTTCAATTTCTGTAATCTTTATTCCCGTTTGTGACTCCATGAGGGGGTGTTGTCTTGAATCTCAGTATAAAGGGACTCTAGTAGTGACAAGCTTTCCAGAAAATCCGTGTTTTTTCGGGAGAAATTTGGCAAGGTGTAAATGTTTGTATGCTGTTTATCCCAGGGCAACGCGGCGGGGTCCAGCGCGTAGGTGGCTGTGCCTTCAAACGAAAGTGGAAACCGGGAGACAATTAAGATTTTAACTGGGTCCCGCATCATCGGAACAACAAACACCGCACGCCACGCCTGGCGGAGGGGGCCGCGCTTCTGCCACTCTCGCTGATAAAATCGGCGCGCGAGCGGTGGAAAGCGGTGATTTATCGTTCGATCCGGCACCGGTGGGTGGACACCCCCCGGGAAGGGACTTTCAACGGGGGGCGTGGCCCCCGATGAGATATGATACCCGCGAAAATTACGAGCAGGTGCAAATATGATCTGTCGCGAGATAAAATCGCGAAAACGCTCCGGACTTTTCGCCGAGAAAGCGGATGAAATAGTGCTCGAAAGTTCGATTACCGCTCCTTGATGAGTTCCGTGGTGAGATGCTGATAAGAGCACTCTTGTTCAGTAGTGGCGTTGAACATTTCCGCCGACACCTTGTACTTGCGAATTTAATGTGAAAGGATTCATGAGATAAAGACTAAAAATCTGGGAAATGCACAAGATTTTGCTGCGTGCTGACTGTTGAAATGGACCACCAGACAAGGTACGAATTTCAGCATTCTAATACATGCTTCTTAACAAAATTTCACGTAAAACACGATGCGCACAACGAAAATTACCGAAATCAACTCCTTACGAAGATATTTAATGATTCTTGATGCGTATAAATTCAAATCATCCGCTCATGAAAACTCAGTGCTCTATGTGATCGATCCCATTGGTTGAAATGGGTGAGAAATAGACAAAGGGCATAAGTGATGGACTAACTATAAGGTCTTTCATGGGTCGCCGTTAGTTAGTCTATTATCTACCTCCTTTGTCCATTGCAACCACTCGCTTCCGCCAATAGAATCGCTGATAGTCTGGAACAGGTCAGTTCGGGACTCCAGCTCTGTGTGAATTTCGCCTACTTTCCTACTCTTTCGTTCAAGTCTCCAACATCGTCTACGAAAGTCATTCAAGATTATTGATTCGAAAGACCAAGAGGAATTTCGAAAATCCAAAGCTGTAGCGATAACACTTGTCACACAGCTGCCGAAGTTCGGGGCAGACATCTGAAGTACTTCGATATATACCGAAGGGTTCGGGTCACACATCTGAAATACTCCGGTACATACCGAAGTGCCTCGATGTCTGACCTGAACTTCGGCAGCTCGACTTCAAGTTTTGGGATATGTGATCAGAAAACTTCAGAGGTCCATATGACCTCAACTTCGGGTACCATGCACGAAGTTTTGTTCCGTGTAAAAACGTATATGTGCTATTATCTTAGGTTGCCTTCACTACTATAAGTGTTGTTCCACATGAACCACTAATTGGTTTTTAAGCCATAGCTTTTTCTCAGTATGGTTTGATTATTGCACAGAAAAAAAATTCTCGGCGTTTTTACCAAGGTCAGTTGGTACCTTTACCATCTCACTTTTTTTTTACCAATTATTGGTAATTTTACCAAGACAGACTGGTAAACTTACCTAAAAACCTGTATTTTTGCTGTTTTTTCAGGTAAGAATACCACTTTTATTGGTAATCAATTCCCGGTAACTTCGCCATTTTATCTCGGTAATTCTACCACAGTCGATAAAAAATATTGGTGTTTTTACCAAGGTCCAGTAAAATTACCGAGAAAGTTCAATGATTTTACCGAGATTCTAGGTAAAATTACCAATTCCATAAATGGTAATTTTACCAAGAAAAAATTGGAATCGAATAGAACCCTGAATTCTTGGTAATTTTACCCTTTTCTCAGTAAATACACCGAGATTTTTTTTTCAGTGTTGCCCAAATTTGAATATAAAACCGTGTACTCACCGGTTTGCCCGTGGTTGGGCTCATTGTCGTCGCTGTCGATGTGGGGTATGGAGTCGTCCTCGTCGAAGCAGGGCCCGGTCTGCATGGCCGAGTCCCTTTTCTGGATCCGCGGGTGGCCGTGCCGGAAGTCCGGCTCGTCCCTGTCGAAGCCCTGGCGGAGCTCCTCGTCGGCGACCCGCTCGAAGGCCAGCTCCACCGAGACGACGAGCTCCCGGAGGAGGGACGGCAGGGTCCGCAGCTCGTCCTGGCCCTCCATCGCAGCGCGCCCTCGCCCCGGCCCCGGGCCACTCGCGCGCGCCAGCCCAGGCAGCTTCACCCTAGCGAGGGCCGCATCCACGTCGCGATCCCGACGCCGCTCCTAAGAACAGAAGTAAACAGTTTGTCACAAGAAATCCATGGAAAAGAAGACCAATATATTGGATACAGAGGCAATATACATACAGAGAGAATATTCAACACAGAAGCATGGTTAACGCGGCAAGTAAAACTAGTCTGCCGTGATAGCGAAGAGAGCCGTAAGTGCAAAAATGAAGTTTTGAGAAAACGGGCTCAGAAGCTTCTGACAAGATCATTTTATTAAAAGAAGCCTCCGTTCTGTGTCAAACTGCCACTGATCGTCCGGAAGACTCCTAGAAATCGTATGGATGATTAAAAATCGACTGATTTTATTTCCATTACATAAAAAGGGTATTTTTCATTTTCATGCTAGGTTATTGTTAGGCAAGACAGCCGTAAGTGCTATCTTCTGCATGCTATCGTGGTTGCGTTTTGGACGCACAACAAACACATTTTCAGGTTAGAAATTGGAAGAAGAGGGCGGCACTTTACTGGAAAGCACTGTTTTCATTGGCTCTCATGCATCTATGGCTGTCTTGAAAAAAAAACTGTGTCATTTTTTGTGCACTTACGGCTTTTACATACGTCTCGTTTGCATTAAATTAGGATGAATTTTGCTGTTTTAGCTGTCTCAGTAATTTCATCTAAAAGAGTTTAGACGAATTTTGAAGAAAACTCGATTTCGAAAATTTTGCTCTTACGGTTCTCTTCGCTATCACGGCAGTAGTGTTTGTTACTTTTAAAAGATGTCTTCAATTTTGAAAAACTAGTCGGTATTAGGGGCCGATTATTGAAATTAATAGACAAAGCGATAGAAAGAAGATATAGGGAGAATGGAGAGGAGGGATCCTATTGGTTGAAATGATTGATTCCTTTGGACTAAGGGTGAAAATGATGGACATAAGGTCTCTCGCGAGGTACCGTTAGTTAGTTATTGTATAGTGCCTGTTTATTGATCCTTTTCCATAGGTTTAAATGCACATCGATCGATATATCGCGAGCCACGCCGCTGGGTGGCACGTCAAAAAGACTGGCGATTCCTCGACGAAAAGAAGCTCATAGGGCAAATTCTCACGTGATAAAAGGCGGGTCAATGCGGGCTCATCTGTGGCAAGATGCCTCGGGACCATAATTCGGCGAGACAATGGCATCAAATCGCAACGTGACGTGCAACAACAGACTCATCTGGACGTATTTATGCTAAAAGGAACTGTGTGCAATGGGGTTGAAGCGGAGGATAGTTCCTTTCAGCATTTATGCGTTCATCTCATCGGAAACGGCTCATCCTCATTCTGATAACTCAGTCACCTACATCCATTCGCCCATCCATCGGCCGATGCTCGATGCCCATTGGACGTCTTCTAATCAAAAGGAACTTCATTCATTTCGAAATGAGCCCTCAGATCGTTAAGAATACACACAAGCCATGGCTCATGTATCAATGGATATAAAATCCTTCATTATAAAAATACGTCCCATTGTTCCAACCACGACCGTGGATTGACGATTTGGTGTTGCGTCGGATCCCAACATTGCTGCCAGAATGTGCAGAAAAATGCGCACATTTCGGATTTCAAACCCACACTGGAAAAAAAAACCACATTGTATCTAGAGTCCAGACTCTTAAAAACATCGACAAGAAAAACTACTCTTGATTCAATCAGATTTAAGCTTAGATCAAGAACCAAGCCTCTTAATTTGAGCGGATTTCCTTTTGATTTAAGCTTATATCTGATTGAATCAAGAGTCCTTTTTCTTCTCAATGTTTTCAAGAGTCCGGACTCCAATGTGTTTTTCTTTTCAGTGCATGTAAAATATCCGTATTTTATCGCACAATCTAACAACCTTGATTCCTAGCGCCTGCGCCTCCAGCCACGTCTTGTTACTACTGCCTTGCTCAGGAAAAGCGACGTATGTGAATTATAGCGTTGCAAGATGTATTGTATGAAAATACGGATTTCTGGAAAAAAATTGTTGATTTTCCCCCCTGAATTTAGTGGTGAATTTTATTCACGATTTAATCGGAAAGGTCGAAAAATTTTGATGGAAAATATTCATGACTTTCCATAGAAATGAATATTGCACCGAGGAAAATCTGGCGACATTCGAGTTCTAATAAGGCGTTCTACGGCAGACAGGTTCTGCAATGTTTGCGAGTCAGGTCAACTGTTCGGTTGCTGTACAGCATAAAGAGCTGATAGAATGAAGGGGTCATCTTGCGTCTAATATTGGTCTTTGTTCATAAGACGGGACCGATATGTGCTTCTTGCTCAGGATGCTTTCACCATGAGTGATGAAAAAACCGGTGACCCGGGCTAATGAATCGGCAAGACAAGAGATAAAATGATTAAAAAAATTGTAGAAATTGAAATCTGAGGACTCTGCTAGCGATGCAATAGAAACAGAATGAAAAGCGAAGAAATTTTCACTCTTCTTGATCTGCTAGCACCACGTTCAAAATTTTTACTAAGATTTTTTGCCATCATCCGAAACGATTCAAATGTTTGCAATAAACTTTTCATTCCGAGACAAACGGATCATTAACTGTTTCTCTTGGTGCAGAAATCATTAACCGTTTTTATTGATCCTAACTCATCATCACACCATCTAAATGACAAACATTACACGTTAGTCAAACAAAGCAGGATCAAAGGAATAGAGACTGTGCAAATGTGCAGCCTCATGCAGCTCACTCAACACAAGTAAACCTTGTGATACAACTATATAAACTCCCAGGTGCTCAAATTGCATATCCACTGATTTGAAGGAAAAATTAGTTTCCCGTCCCCACACTGTCACATTTGAAGTGACCTGCCGCGTTCAGTGCCAGCCAATTGGTACCATCATTCTTCAGTATCAACGGCTTTTCCACTTTAGTTAACTTGTAAGAAACAGTATTGTACATTTTGGGACGGTTATCTACTACCTATAGTATCGACCTTAAGACTATATTTGTACAGTTTGCCACTATCATACATTTCAAACCTTAACAAGTATATTCTGACATCATTACTAGCTATTTCCATCTTGACAGCTTTGAAATGCCCTTTGTGACTGAAAAATTCCCTGATTTTCCTGAATGTTCTTCATTTCTGGTATTCTAGGCCCCAGAAAAGAAAAAAAGAGAAAACACAGGAAACAAGACTAAAATACAACAAAAATAAACCGGAGACGTTCCGACTCATAACTGAGATTTTCAGTCGGAAAATAAAGTAAAAATAAAAAAATATTGATGAAAAATTGTTTTCTCTCGGGAGAGAAAACTATTCTTTCCATGGAAGAAGACTTCTCTTCCCGAAGAGAAGACTTAGGTCTCGTTTCTTCATCAAAATTTTTTACTTTTTAATTTATTTTCCGACTGAAAATGACTCAGGTTGAGTCAAAACATTTCGGGTTTTTTGTTGTTATATTTTAGCCTTGTTTCCCGTTTTTCCCCCTCTCGAGCTGTTTTGTAGACATTTGTTGCTATGTATTCCAGGTCCTAGACTTCAAATAATGAAGAAATTCGATCCTTTATACCAGAGCTTAAAATACGCATTGATGATTTCCGCTGCAGTGGCTCAGAGACTCTCGCTCAAATCCAAGCTTTTGAAAGTCGTATTTCTTTCAAACTAAAAATCACTCGTGCCGCCCGAAGGCCTGGACTGGGATTTGTCTCATTATCTTTCTAGTTGGTTTTTAATGGCTTCGTCTAGGGTACTGTAGGTGTTGCGTCCTGGTTTAGCCGTGTAAAAAGCCGAGATTTCCCACATAAGAGGCGGACTGATTTTTACGGCCGTTCGCACCTTTCGCCTCACACCTCGGTCGTGGGTGGGTTCGTCGGCTAGAGCCGAGCGTAGGAATGGTATCCGTGTATCCCATTTCCATTTCCCGATCCAGGGCCTAGCGTTTCCACTTAGACGGAAACGAAACATACGCTCGTTGCCGGCTTAGGCACGAATAGAAAGCTCTACATCCTATGCGAAAGACCAGAGCACAGGATAAGAAGTAACCTCCTAATATAAATGTCCCTAATTGAAACTTTGCGCAAAACACATTGGACGTATTAGAAATGTCCAAAATTTGTCGTTTGTCGGATGAAGTCACGTAACCCAATTCCGATGTTGCTAAATTGACCCAAACAGTTATTTTTTACAGGAATGTATACATTGGGAGAAAAAAAAAACTGTTGCATTTAAAGAAAAAATTATGACGAGGGATTCAAAGATTTGCAAAATTGAAAATAGTTTTTTCCTAGCTTCAACATCGATATCTGATCTCATCTTTCAACGGAACTAATAAATGAGGGACTTGGAGGACAAGGCGCATAAGTGTAGTTTTTGCTATTTCGAGAAAGACGTGTTTGAAGTTTCGAAATTACATGGATACTTATGGCGGTAAGAAGATTCAAACGGACTTTTTGATGCTTAAAAATCGGAATTTGGGAGCGAATTTTTCACAGAAAATTCTCTAGACTAGTTTTGCTTAAAATCATTGATATCACAATTTTCTCAAAATTTGCACTCATGCGCCTTGTCTTCCGAGCCCTTCAATTTACCTTGAGATTTTCAAAATAGAGAATAAAAGCATCGGAAAAATCGGAAGTCAATTTTTCACAACTTTTTTGAGGAATTTCCATAAGATCATAAGAAGTTGGGAAACATCCGAAGGCTCATTAGGCATTTGGCACGACAGTGTAAGATATCGCTCTGGCCGTCCGTAAAATTTGAGCCGGTCCACAGGAGAACTTCACCTTTAGGACGAAAATTCTGACTGGTAAATTTATCCTCTTCAATTTTTATTTTCATCCCCCCCCTCCTCCGGCGGAAGAGGAGGGATGGCAGAGAGGAGTAATTTATCTTCCTCTTCCTTTTATGAGCGATGAACTTGAGGTAGGATGGTGGGCGCGATAAGACGAAATTCACCGATATTTAATACTCGTGACTTGAATTTTTCATCGCCTGGCAATAAATAATCTTCTCAGGTTGAATGACCCGTGATTACGATTGCCTTGCTGAAAAAAAAGAAAGAAAGAGAAAAACC